CTGAGGTCAACCATCATTCATGCATTCAACAAGTAGTTACTGCTGCTTGCCAGGCGCTGTGCTGCTGGGCGCTGGGAATGCGACCAAGGATGAAGCCGACACGGTTTCTGCCTGCCCTCCTGCAGCTTACACTCCGAGTGGATGCTGATAACAGCGACTAAAGATTGCCCAATTGACGTGTTTTTTGTTTGTAGGAGTGAAGTTGAACAGCATGGGCTAGGCTTTCAGCCAGCCGACCTCTCAACAGACTTCCTGTTTCGAGGGGCTACCAAATGAGGGCAGGCCCCCTCAAGCTCCCATGATGAAAAGAGGAGCCCAGGAATGTGACCTAAGAAAGACCGGTCAGATGCATCCTTGGCTCCAGAAGTATTGATACAGGTTAGTTGGAAATAATGCAGTGGATTAGTGAATTTAGCAGCTGCATATTCAGCAGTGTGGCAGTGAGGGTACAGAGGTGGCGATCCAGGAATGGCGGCAGCAAGTGTCCAGCCGGCTGCTCTGGTGACAAGTTCTTCCTGGCGTCTGCCTCCCTGTGCTACACGCTGCCCAAGCCTGTTTCTCCCGCTCTGTTTTGTGAGCTAACCTGACAGGCTTCCTAAACCCTTTACTGCCGAAACTCCTCCGTGTCAGTTTCTGTTGTTTGCAATCAAGAAAATGCCTCATAATGCCTTTTTATTAGCAATTTATATTTTGTACTGGTGTGATTTACCTGCACACATCATTTGCCCGTTTTTCTTTTGGCACTTTTTGTTGTTGTTGTTGTTGTTGTTGTTTTATAAAGGTTGGCTAATAAAAGTCCTTTGTATATAAATTATATTATTCCTTGGTCTTGACCATTCCATTTGGTTATTTACCTTTTACCGCATTTACAGTGTTTTCAAATCAAGCAGAGGCTTTTAATTAGTTTATATAGTCCGACTGATCATTTTTATCATAAAGGTTTCTGGGGGGGGGGGGTTCACATGATTAAGCAAACAGCCTTTCCCTACTCCAAAAGAAGGATAGTCACCTATGTTTTCATTTAATGCTGTTATGGTTTTTATTTTTTTGTTTTTATTTTAATGTCGGCTCCATCTGGAACTTATTTTTGTGTAAGAAATGAGGTAGGGATCTTGACTTGCCCTCACTATGCCGCGGGCCAGTTGTTTCAGCACCATTTTACAAAAATAATCTAACCTTTTCCCACTGGTTTAAAATGTCACCTTTTGTCACATATTAAACCACATACATTTAGGGTTTTTAAAAATTCTGTTCTAGCTTATTGATGTGTGTCTATATTCCACGATGATACAGGTTTAGCATGTATTGAAATTTTTGGTAAGGCAGTGCCTCCTACTAGTCTATTCTCTCAGAAGAATTTAATCCTTTGGGGGGATTAGTTTATATAGGTTGACTTAAGGGAAATTGACACCATCATCGTATTTATCTTATCCGAAAATAAAGTATGTCTTTTTAAAATTATACAAGAGTTTTCACGTCCCTTGGAGGACTATGGTTTCCTTCCATACGTCTTGTAACATTAATGAATTGATTCCTGTTTGTTGTTACTATGAAGGGGATATTTTTATGCCATTATATTGCCTATTGTTTGTCTCCAGGACAAAACTATTTTGTATCCCGCCACCTGATATACTTTAGTTCTTTCTCATCATCTCCAGTTGATTCCCTTGGGCTTCTTCAGGAATTCATATCACTGCATGAGATAATAACCTGGCCTCTTCCTCTATAATATTTGTACTTCATCTTTTTTTTTTCTCCTTTCTAATTGCTCTTCCGGAATTCTGTTAAGTAACCGTGATGAGAGTGGGAAAGCCTGCTCTGCTCCTGATGGTAGCCTCAGTGTTTCCAGGCCTCCCCATTTAACATGATGCTTGCTTTGGGTTTGAGATATATATTATTTATTGCATCAAAGTGGCATCCATTTATCCTACTTCAGAAAGGGTTATTAGCAGAAATGGATCTTAAATTTTATCAAATGCCTTTTGGGCATCAACAGAGAGGAGCATATGCTCCCTCCTGCCCCCACCTTTGACCTATATGCCCATCATAGGTTCTCAGTAGAGAAAAACATGAACTGCTTTTAGTGAACTTAAGCAGAAAATGAGCTTATTGGAGGGATGGATACCAAGCAGCTATAGAACTGTCAGAAAAAGCTTCAGAATCAGACTTGGCAAACCAAGGAAGATAATACCTGGCCAGGACCCCGCTCCAGAAAACGCTGTTTCCAATGTCACCTTGGCACCATCAGTGAAGTGGGACACTAGCTGCTGGCACCAAGGCTGGCATCACCATTGGACAGTGGCAGCTGCACTGCTGGACTCATGGTTCGTTCTGCGATAGCCACTGTGAATAATCTTGAATCGTTTCTGATTGTCCTTGAACTCTTGCTATCACACTTTCAAAATTCTAAGCCCAAAGTGGAAGCATTTCTTTGGTTGGGCTACATCCTTAGTCTGGTCACTAGCTGCTGAGAAGTAGGGGAGCGATTGCATCTCCTACAGCTTCCAGAGCCGGAGACAGAGCTGTCTCGCTCTGTCCTGAGATTTCTTCCACGGATCGCCCACCGAGAAGGGACAAGCCTTCCCACCAAGCCCCACCCAGACTGCGAAAGGAATGACTGTGTTGTTTTAACCCACGAAGTCGTGGGGGGTGATTTGTTAGTTACAACCGGATAACCAAACGGTACTCAGACGGTTCTTAATGACAGCCTTTGCTCCCCTCTATTCATTTCTACATTTGCCCTCTGTGTGTAGCAAGCCTGATTATCTACTTGATGCAGTGACAGGAGGTTTTCTCTTAAAACACATCTGCCCCTTCAGTGTGGGCTAGACTTTGTGACTCGCTTCCAAAGAACAAAGTGTGGAAAGGGACAAATAGGAACTTTGCAGTGGACAGACCTGGCGGACAGCTCCTTCACCAAGCGATGATGGTGAATATCACCCAAGGACAAGTCATGATGACATCATGTGACCCCTCGTGTTAGGGTTATCCAAGGGAAACAAAACCAACAGAGTGTGAGAGAGAGAGAGAGTGTGTGTGTGTGTGTGTGTGTGTGTGTGTGTGTGTGTAGACAGAGAGAGATTTATTAGAAGGAATTTGCTCACATGATGATTTAGAAGCTGACAAGTCCCAAGACCTGCAGTCAGCAAGCTGGAGACCCAGGAGAGCCGGTGGTAAAGTTCTAGCCCAAAGGCCAGTCAACTCGAGACCCAGGAAAAGCTGATATTTCAGTCCAGCTCCAAAGGCAGGATGAAACTGATGTCCCAGCTCATGCAGACAAGCAGGATGAATTCCCTCCTAATCAGGCCTTTGACTGACTGGATGAGGCCCACCCACCTTGGGGACAGCAACCTGCTTTACTCAATCAATTTAAATGTTAATCTCATCCAAAAACACCCAGAATCATGCTTGACCAAATATCTGGGCACCCTGTGACCCTGTGAAGTTGAATCATAAAATTAAACACCAGACCCTGATACAATGTGATGAAGAGGCTGTTTCACCTCTGTGGAATTTTTCACCAAACCCATAACCCCAGTCTACTCACAAAGAAAAACATCATATAACCCCAAATATATAGGGACATTCTACAAAATGACTGGCCCGTCCTCTTCAAGACTTGCCGTGATCAGGAAAATCAAAGAAACACAGAAAAACTGCCACAGACCAACCGACACTAAGAGGACGTGATGACTAAATGCTAGGTGACATCCAGGATTAGATGGTGGCACATGAAAAGGATATTAGTGGAAAACCTGATGAAATACAAATAAAACCCGGACTAGCTAACAGTGTCACACCAGTGTGAGTTTCTCAGTTTTAACGAATGTGCCATGTCTGTGCAAGGTGTTAACACTAGGAAATACTCAGAGAAGGTTATACAGGAATGCCG